TCAAGACGGGGCAGGCAACAAAAAAAAAACCCCCAATGAAGGACATAAAAAAGGAGAACTATGAGGTGAGTGAAAATCACTCTCATATTTCGAGCCGACGTGCGACAATGAAACTGTCACAGGTCGGCTCAATAGATCGGGAAGTGAGCGAACGCATACCAAAGCGTGCTCACTTCTCGATCATCTCCCTGCAGAGAGCCGTGACCGTCAGTCACGGCTCCCTGCAGGGATTCCCCCCTCTGATCCTCCAGCAGTGACTGGAGGAACAGACGTGGGAGGGGGCTGGTACAGCTGGCTCTGCCACTAGATAGGCAGAGCCAGCTGTCACTCACGCAGCTGGATCTCGACAGTGATGTCAGGATCCGTCCTGGCTGCGGTAGTCTCAGTATAAAGCGAGCTGTTGCTCGTGATATACTAACCTCCTCCCGTGACCCAAAGCTCAGTATATGTCCTCCCGTGACCCAAAGCTCAGTATATGTCCTCCCGTGACACTAAAGAGAGCTATGTAGGGAAAACCACTTACCCCATGGTTCTCTTATCTATTCCTTTCTTTATCCAAAAACATAAAAACCTGTATTTAAAAAGTCAATTTATAGTTAATCAATTTGTCCAGATCATAGGATGGAGCATCATTCAGTGGAAGGGATTTCTACTTTGAATAGAGATCAGCTGTCCTTTTTTCAAAACCCTCTTCTCCCAGAGGTTACAGATCAAAGAACTATTGTTCACACACCAATGTGACCAAAGAACAAGATTAAATCCCAACTATAGCCCACTTTTATAAGTTTGAGATATAACAGAACATGTTAAAATTCCTGCAAAGTTAAATTTTTGTCTGTGACGCCATTATGAGGAGTTTCCCTCACGTCATGTTCCTGCGACACCCATGCAAGAAGAAATAAAGCAGCAGCTGACAATGAGAAAAGCAGACAGACAGCAAAAACACAACACTGGCAAAAGTTTTAACTCTTCCATGCTAAACTAAAAATGTGTTTTTGCCTATGACCATTAGAATTCAGTGGGGATCAGCCCTACAGGGACAGAGATGGTGATAAATCAGGCTCTAGATCTTCTCTGCTTTATCGGAAACAAAATACATTTTGGCTGGATTTTAGAATAAGGAGTTGGATTGTATTTCATTCAAGGCACTGTTGACTTCAAATATCCAAAGGAAAAAAGTTAAAGTACCTCATCAGGTTCAGAGAAATAAAAAATGAACAAATGGTAAGTGGGGAAAAAAGAAAATCTCTGCTTTAGTAAAATTAGCCCCTTCATGGGTTGCAATAACTTTCACCAATAGGTTGCAATGCAGGGGAAATGTGAACTTGAAACTCCAGGTTCTGGTAAACAATAAGTGATGCAGGAAGATGGCTGGACCCATTCACCACACTGTCTGTAAATCCCACCCCACAATAAACTGCATCTTTCATTACAAGAGTTACCTTTGCTGTAAGATACCGGCCACAACTAAAACTATGTAAAGATGGTATTATACACTTCCTTACCATTATGGTGCATACCAACCTAACCACCTATCTGTACTGAAGATATTGCACTCAGAGGCTGAGACATCACCAAAATGATATATCAATAAAGTCCACCTTTTACATAGACATTTAATCTTCTAAAACAGAGCAGTACAATACTCAATGTTTAAAATGGCATTCATTACCCAAAGCTCAAAACAGGCTGCTGAAGTATCTACAATTCAAACCTTGCTGTCAATTCAAATTACCGGCCGGGGATTGCCCAAACCTTGCTGTCAGTGTCTATAGTGCAGGAGGCAAACCCTGGCCCCCAGCTGTGGTGCAACTACAAATCCCAATTGGCATTGCATGACTAACAGCCACAGGCATGACTCCCAGAGGCAGAAGCATGATGGGGGGT